CTCGCCGCGCTGCCTCTTCGGCCTGGGAGAAGCACTCAGCGCCATCTACGTGGTCGGCGGCCGCGAGCTCAAGGATGGGGAGCGCAGCCTGGACTCGGTGCTGTGCTATGACCGGCTGTGAGCAGGGCTGGGGCCAGGAGGAGCGGGGTGCACCTGGGCTCTGCCAGGCGGGGGCTGGACTGGGGGTGGGCACTGAGCCGGCACCTCCTCCCACCTCTCCAGGTCCTTCAAATGGGGGGAGTCGGACCCGCTGCCCTACACCGCCTATGGCCACGCGGTGCTGTCCCACCTGGACCTCGTCTATGTCATCGGGGGCAAGGGCAGCGACAGGTGAGGCTTGGCCTGGGCGCCGGGAGATGGCCCTGCTTCAGCCCGCTCACAGCCGTGCCCCACAGGAAGTGCCTCAGCAGGACCTGTGTCTACGACCCCAAGAAGTTCGAATGGAAGGATCTGGCACCCATGCAGACGGCACGCGCTCTCTTCGGGGCCACTGTGCACGACGGCCGCATCTTCGTGGCAGCAGGGGTCACGGACAGTGGGCTGACCAGCAGCGCCGAGGTGTACAGCATCGCAGACGACCGGTGAGCACGACCCCCGGCCCCATCTGAGTCTGTGCTGTGGATTTCAGTGGAGGTCTCCCTCCTGTGCCAGCCGGGCAGCCGGGGCGGGGGGCGGTGGGAGGAGGGGCAGCGGGAGGAGGGGCAGCGTCACAGGCAGTGTCTTGGTCCCCCGGTCTCACTGCGATCTCACAGCAGCTGTGCGGACGCAGAGCAGGGGTCTTCAGGAGTCAAGAGAGTGGGAGGCCTGGACGCAAGCACAGGGGCGGGGCCGCTGCCTGCATCAGGGTAAAATGGGTCTGTACAGCTGACAGCCGCTGGGGCCCAGGGCTTCCCCTTGAGAAGCAGGGACCTAGAGATGGGTCTGATCTTGGAGTGAAGGGGAGGCCTGTTGTTGAGGGGCCGCTGGGGCTGGATAGCAGAAGTGAGGATCCAGGTGGAGGGCAGGTCAGGTGTGCGTGGGGGCAGCAGCAGCAGTGAGATGCCCA